AGCTCCATCGTTCACCCAGCGAAGTCCACGGGTAGCCACGGAAGTTAGCGGCGATGGAAGAGCCAAAGGGAAGCGATTGAACACCCCCCGGGCGCTGAGCTCCTCCGTCGAGGGGCACGGAGCCGATCGCCTTCGCGGCGTTCAATAGGTAAGGGGGTCCGCGGGGGAAGGGGGGTCACAGGGAGGGCGGTCACAGGGGGAGGGGGGTCACGGGGATGGGGGGGGGACATCTACAAACAGATCACCGCCCGCCGACGCAGCGAGTCCACCAGCGCGCGGATCCGTCCGGGGTCGCGTGCGCCCATCTCGCACGATCCCGTTCTCCACGGCGGTCATTCCGGTGTGTGTGTGTCTCTCTCTCCTCCCGTGTGTCGCGTGGATTTTTTTCCGGGTCCTCCGGGTTTTTTTTTTAATCTTCCTCCACATTTGGGATGAACGTCACGCGTCTCGAGCCTTTGGGCTGCTGCTATAAACGTCCACGTGGTGGTGATGATGATAACGGGCCGCCACTTGGCCGAGCTGTCGTTTGTGATAGCCGGGGGTCGCTTCTGAAATAAAGAGCTGCGTCGCTCAGTGGTGCCTTTACCCGGTGAAATAAGAAAAAAATAGTCTTTACACCATTGGAACCTCATTTGCCAGTAAAAAATATGATAATTTACTTTTAACCCTTCTATCTGGTGACAAAACTGACACCTTTTTTTTTTTACAAGGAGTCATGTTTGCATAGACCACAATACCTGCAGTCATAATGCAAACAACAAACATAACTCTGATAATGTATGCACTGTCCTTGAAGTTGATTGGTCCACACCCGAGACAGCTTTCCTTAGAGCCTAGTCTCACATGGTGTTGGACCAGATGACAGTGCATACATTATCAGAGTTATGTTTTTTGTTTGCACTATGGCTGCAGGTATTGTGGTCCATGCAAACATGACTCCTTGTAAAAAAGGTGTCAGTTTTGTTGCCAGATAGAAGGGTAAACAAACAATTATCAAAAAAGTTGTCCTAGTTCTCTTGGGGCGCCTGAAAATAAAACAAAATGGTCGTCGTTCTCTTGGGGCCGCCTGCTCCTTCCCTTTGTGGCTGCCACTCCTCCGTTCGTCTCACCCGCGTGGGGGGGGGGGTTGGTGAGCAGTCTGAGCGCTGATTGGTCAGGTGGTGGGAGTTGACCCCGCCCCTGCTGTTGCCGCTGCTGCTGTTGCTGCGCCTGTTGCCGCTGCTGCTTTTGCTACCAAAAACAAAAAGTTGTTGCCCGGAAAAAGGAACCCCGCGGCTTCTTGGGAGACATCCGCAGTGACGACGCGGGGAGGGGGGTGGGGATGGCGGGGGGGGGTCCTGAGATAAGTGGGACGCCCCGTGGTGGTCGCCAAGAATAACAAAAGTGGATGAGGTCGGGAAGCAGAACAGCCTCACCGAGAGACCTGGGGTAGGTTTTTTTTCACTTTTTTCGTGGATTTATTTTTTACGGTGGTCGCCGATCACAGAAATCCACCACCCCCCCCCCCTAACCACCCCCCCCCCACCAACACCCCCCCCCCCAAAGACCCAAACGACGAGAATCCGGCGACAAACAGTGCTATCTATCGGACGTTGTTTGCCAGATAAGGGTGTAACGTGCGTCTTGAATTGAGCAGTGAGGTTATGCGGAGGGGAAGAGTCGATGGGAGGAGGGAGTTCGAGGGTGGAGCGGTGCGAGGCATCGAGTCAAATAGAGAGGGGAGGTGACCTACATTGCGGTGAGTGGATGGGTGAGTGGGTGTGTGGGTGAGTAAGTAGGTGAGTGGGTGGGTGGGTGAGTAGATGGGTGAGTGGGTGGGTGAGTGGGTGGGTGTCTGGTTGAGTGTGTGGGTGAGTAAGTAGGTGAGTGGATGGGTGAGTGGGTAGGTGAGTGAGTGGGTGAGTGGATGGGTGAGTGGTTAGGTGAATTGGTGAATGATTGGGTGAGTGGGTGGGTGAGTGAGTGAGTGGGTGAATGGGTGGGTGAGTTGATGAGTGGGTGAGTGGATGGGTGAATGGGTAGGTTAGTGGTTAGGTGAATTGGTGAATGATTGGGTGAGTGGGTGGGTGAGTGAGTGGGTATGTAGGTGAGTGAGTGAATGGGTGGGTGAGTGGCTGAGTAACTGAGAGTGTGTTGTAACCTGCAGTGTGCTGCCAGTTGAACTGGACAGCGTGGACGGTGCCAAGACAGTTCAGTGACCGAGTCGTCAACGCGGGGAGGAGGGAGGGGGGGGGGCTCACCCACACTGATCGCGACAGAAGACTGCGCGGCTGGTGAGCGAGGTACTGGCGTCCGGCAAGCAGCCCGGTGGCGGTGATGACGCGGAGTCTGCGGCTCCACTGAGGGGGGAGGACCGCTCAAAGGTCAGTGGCGGGCGGCTTGACCTTGACCCCCCCCCCCTCACCCACTGGTGATCTCCGGCCGCTACTCCAGGAGCCATCAGCAGGGTGGAGCAGGAGGAGAGAGAAGCGAGCCAACGGGGGGCGCCCCCCAACGGAGGTTCTACGGCAGAGGTCGCAACCGGGTACCCGATACCCGTACCCTACCCGATACCCGGCTACCCGTACCCAGCCGGGTACGGGTATGGGTATCCGTTTGCGACCCTGGTGCGGCCGGGTACGGGTAGACCGTGAGTCACTGGTGAGTAACTGTTTGTCACTCATTTCCCAAAGTCTTGTCTCTTCTCACAATTCAAGTTCCTAGAATCAACCCACCCGCGCCTGCAACATGGCTTCATCCCAGAGGTCGCAATCAGGTACCCGATACCCGTATCCTACCCGTACCCGGCCGGGTACGGGTAGGGTACGGGTACGGCCGGGTACGGGTACGTGTACCCGTTTGCGAACCTGCTGCGGCCGGGTACGGGTACGTGTAAGGAATCAAAACCCGTTTGCGACCTCTGTTCCAGGGTGCTCCCAATGGGGAGAGGAGCAGCAACAGCAAGAAGGAACAGCGCCGGCAAGCGCCAGAGGTCCGAGGCCGTGGTAAACATCTCGGTGGCGGTGGCTAGGAGATTCATCTTCTTGGTTCTTTCGGTAAAGTCACGTAGAAGGGAAGTAATAAAATAATAAAAATGAAACAAAATAAAATAATATAATAATATAATAAAGTAATATACTAATATAATTATGTTTTATTTTATTTTATTACTTCCCTTCTACGTGACTTTACCGAAAGAACCAAGAAGATGAATCCCTGCAGTCACGAAAGCTTTAAATCGAAATGGCTAGGAGATGTTAACTACCTCGCCTGGTATACAGAAGATCATAGGTTCGATCCCGACCCTGGTGCCTGCTGCTGTATATTTGGAGTTTGCGTGTCTCTCTCTCATCATCATCACGGTGGCTAGGAGATGTTAACTACCTCGCCTGGTATACAGAAGGTCGTGGGTTCGATCCCGACCCTGGTGCCTGCTGCTGTATATTTGGAGTTTGCATGTCTCTCTTTCTCACCCCGTAGTCGTTTTTTTTAGGTCCTTTAGTTTCCCCTTCCACATTCAGAATGAATATTTCGCTTTTATAAATGGCCACGTGATGATGATGACGACGATACGCCACTTGGTTGAGCCATCATTTGCGGCCAGGTGGCTTCTGAAATAAGAGCTACATAGCTCAGTGGGCCTTACCTGGTAAAATAAATTTTTTAATTGTTTTTTATAGTTTTAGCGCCGGCTGGTACTGTGTATCGATTCACAACTGATCGTGACCGCCACCACCGTCGCCGCTGCCGCCAGCGCCACCACCACCACCACCGCTGGCCGGGTGGTCTACCGATGTGAGGCGGACGCTGTCTCTCTCTGTCTCTCTGTGTGTACGGAGTTCATATTCTTAGGTTTTTTCGGTAAAGTCACGTAGGTAAAACATCAAAATTAATAAAAATAAAATAAAATAAAGATCACGACGTTTCGGAGGCAACATCAGGTGGGACCGTCACAGCCAGATTAGCTGCAGCAAATCTGGCTGTGACGGTCCCACCTGATGACGGAGACTTGTGTTGCCTCCGAAACGTCGTGATCTTTATTTTATTTTATTTTTATTAATTTTGATGTTTTACCTACGTGACTTTACCGAAAAAACCTAAGAATATGAATCCTTGCAGTCACGAAAGCTTCAAATCTAGAATGTGTACGGAGTGTTGAGAGGGCCAGGGGCCCCATAGCGGAGAAGGCCACGCGGAGACGTCGTGATTTCGCTCAAGCTCGCGGCGGCGGAGTCTTCCGGCGAAATAGTCGTGGAGCGCGCAGCAAGAGGGGGACGAGTGACAGAGGAGGAGGTGGAGGTCAACTGTTGAGAAAACTCTTTTCACGAAACTCATCGCGCATAGTCGTGGAGCGTTGCGGGTAAAAGAACCGACTAAATATCTTCTTGGTTCTTTCGGTAAAGTCACGTAGAAGGGAAATAATAAAAGAATAAAACTGAATAAAAAAAAAAATTCTCATTATTTTATTTTATTATGTTTATGATAAAATATGTTTATAAGAAAATAATAATAAAAATAAAATAAAATAATTCTCATTATTTTATGAAAATAAAATAATTCTCATTATTTTATTTTATTATGTTTTATTATTATTTTATTATTTCCCTTCTACGTGACTTTACCGAAAGAACCAAGAAGATGAATCCATGCAGTCACGAAAGCTTTAAATCGAAATTTAACAGACTAAATAGTCCTCAGTTCTGTCTCTCCATATAAAAAGAATAAAGTTTCCTTCTCCCATAGCTACGGCCTTTCCAAACCAACGTTATCTGGCAGCAGCAGTGGTTATGACCTTAATTTTCTCATCATCAGAGTCAGGCCTCTTAAACAAACCCTGCTCAATTGCCATATTATTGTTGGATAAACGACATCATTATTCCACGTGGAAAGTGACGAACAACCGGAGGTCCCTACGTTTTTACAGAACACACAACGAGCGAGCGGAAGAGCACAGTTCCCAATCACCATTGCAGAGATTACCGATTCCAGAGCAGCGGCTCACGGGGGGGGGGGGGGGGGGGGGGGGGGCCTGGGGCCTGGGGCCTTGCCAGGGGCCGTGGGAAGCGCGACCCACGCCGGCCACTGCTGCAGATACCGACGCGATGACTCACTCGCCGAAACACGCGTGCAGCCGGCGCGTCCAGACCGCGCTCGTGACTCGTCAACACGGTGCGCGCTACAAAGCCACCGACCGCTGCCCCACGCGTCCGCCCGCACCGCGCGCCACTGGTTGCTCCATGTAAACGTTCGCCCCGACAGCTGGCGACTGCGGCGGCGGCAGCGGCGGTTCCCGGAGAGATTGGGAACCCACCACTCGAGAGCGGGGCCCCCTCTAGAGCTCTCTCTCTCTCATAGCGGGAGGGGGCTCCCCCTTTCGCCAGCAGTGTTTGCGAGCAAAGGCATTGCAGGGCTGTGCCTTTAACTGTGCTATCTTTAAAAAACAATGTTACAGAAAAACATAGCGGAACCATCCCCACCGCGCCGCCCCATCCGGTGGCGTGTGGGTAGCGTGTCGGTGGCGTGTCGGTGTTCGGAGTATTCAAAGTTTCCGTTCCTCACTGTGTCCACGTTTTCACCACCATCGACTGCCGTAATCCGGCTCACATCTTCCTCTCTCCCGTGTCGATCCCCCCACCGGCTCGGGTTTTGCCGCCCGTCCCCGTGGTTTTCCCAGGATCGTCATCTTTGTCGAAGATGGCTGCTGCCGCCACGGGAGATCTGTCAGCCTTCCCAGGGCGTGTTGAACTGTTTTTTCCCACCGTACATAGCCAAGCATACTAATTAGAGGTCGCAACTCCGCTCTCTGCGGTCCAAGGAGAGGTGCTTGCAAACCAACGTCCCTTTCCCCCGCCTTCCCTTGCTGCGGTTTCCACCCCCATCACATTTCACTCCTTGCTGCATCTTCACGAACACGAACTCGCAGGCAGCCAGCAGTGGCTTTCCCGCTTGGCTTCATCACAGTCATTCCCGGTCACCGCCGAGGAGGGAAAGCCCCAATGTGGTGAAGTGTTTCGAGAGTCACCCTCTGGTCAGTTTTAGTCGACGGTTCTATGAAGCAGTTCTATGGGTCAGCGGACATCAACGCACGGCCGATCGTTCACAGTTCGTGATTTTTCAAATTTGACACGTCCATCGCCCCCTGCCCCCCCACCCCCTTCCCAGCGTGTCCACGTGGCAATAGCCAATGTTTGCTCAACAACACACACTCAGGGACCGGTAGAGGTGAGAGGCCTAATTGGGCATTGGTAAGGCCCGGCCATCAGGAAAGTTCGAGGGTCCACTCAGCCCAGGGGATAACGCCCAATGAGGCAGGAACGAAAGTCATGCCTTGTCCGGGGAGCAGGAGTAGCGGGCCTGGGTTAGGCGATTACAAGGCCCAACTGCGTAAGGGTAAGGCCTGCTTAGGCAAGGGCAGGAACTGCACAGGCCTGATCTCACGAGCGTGACTAGCGGGCCGCATCAGGAAAAGACGAGGCTCGGGCAGGTCACAGCAGGGCCTGTCCAGGCGAGACCAAGGCCATGTCAGGCGAGGGCCAAGGCCACAGCAGGGCATGTCCAGGCGAGATGGAGGCCAGGTCAGGCGAGGGCCAGGGCACACCAGGTGCCATCGCGGCTTAGCAGCGGAGCTCCCAACTCGAGGTGGCTGGACCCAGGCAGCCCCGAACTGGCGCTGCACGGGTGAGCGGGGTGAGGATGGTGAGGGTAGTGGGAATCTCCAACACCATCCGTCCTCAGCAGGCCCAGTGCGGGAGGGCTTCCATGGGAGCTGCAGTCCTGCCAGGCACAACGAACAATGGTACCCCATTTCAGCAAGAGCATGGCGATTACAATCCCGAGCCTCCGTCTCCGCGGGGACGTGACTCGAATTCACTCGAGTTCGCCGGTGTTGGCTTCTCTGTCTTGGACTTAAGTGTCAGAATCTTTATTTGTCCTGGGGGGAGGAATCTCCCCCCAGGACGGGGCGGAGGCATCAGCAAGTTACATCACCCAGCCACCAATCACAGATCGTCACCTCCCAGACCATGTCTCCTCGTCTCCAGCAACCAATCACAGATGGTAACACTGTGGGGGCTACTCCGGGTCAAGTAGGTGCAGGGATTGATGTCAGTGTGAAGGGGGTAGGGAATGATGATGTTGTGGGGACCATTATGGGCAGGGATCAGCAACCAAAATAACAAGGGCCATTTTATTTTTACTCAACAAAAAAACCCTCAACATTCAAGAGCGCAATGCACGTGGCTACGGGATGGTGGTCCTTAATAAACAGCATAAATAGCAGTCAATGATGTCACAAAGCAGTCAATGACGTCACGAAGCAGTCAATAGCGTCACTAAGCAGTCAATGACTTCACAAAGCAATCAATAGCGTCACTAAACAGACAATAACGTCACTAAGCAGTCAATGACGTCACAAAGCAGTCAATAGCGTCACTAAGCAGTCAATGACGTCACAAAGCGGTCAATGGCGTCACGAAGCAGTAAATGGCGTCACAAAGCAGTCAATGACGTCACGAAGCAGTCAATGGCGTCACAAAGCAATCAATGGCGTCACGAAGCAGTCAATGACGTCACAAAGCAGTCAATGACGCCACAAAGCAGTCAATGGCTTCATCAAGCGGTCAATGGCATCACAAAGCAGCCAATGGCGTCACGAAGCAGTCAATGACGTCACAAAGCAGTCAATGACGTCACAAAGCTGTGAGTGGCGTCACAAAGCAGTCAATGACGTCACAAAGCGGTCCGTTGGGTGGGGGTGGAGGTGGGGGTTGAGGGGCGGCGGGGCCTGGAGGCTCCTCTCACCTGCAAGCCGGGCGGAGCGAACGGAGGCAGCTCCAGCGCGTGAGCCCCCGAGTGGGGGGACAGCGCCGCGCCGCTGTGCTCCACGGGAGATGCCATGCCCACTGGGGGCAGGGGGGAGGGGGGCAGAGGTCAGGGGTCAATAGTTCAAACCTTCTGGATGCGTGTCAAGTTCATACGAGATAGTCACAGCCAATGTGATTCAGGATTGTTTACGGAGTTTCGTTGCTGGACATATCAGGGGCTGAAGTGAGCCCCAAGGGTCCCGAGATTCACAGGAGGAGGAACAGGGGAAGGAGGGGGAGGAGGATAGGAGGATAAGGGGGTGGGTGGAGGGGGTAGGAGGGAGGAGGAGGGGGGGAGGGGAGTGGTAGGAGGGAGGAGGAGGGGGGGGAGGAAGGAGGATGGGGGTGGAGGGAAGAGGAGGGGGGGAGGGGAGGGAGGAGGAGGAGGGATGGAGGATAAGGGGGTGGGTGGAGGGGGTAGGAGGGAGGAGGAGGCGGGGGGAGGAAGGAGGATGGTGGGGAGGGGGGAGGGAGGAGGAGGGTAAGGGGTGGGTGGAGGGGGTAGGAGTAGGAGGGAGGAGGATGGGGGGGGGAGAAAGGAGGATGGGGGTGGAGGGGGTAGGAGGGAGGAGGAGGGGAGGGAGGAGGAGGGGGTAGGAGGATAAGGGGGTGGGTGGAGGGGGTAAGAGGGAGGAAGAGGGGGGAGAGGGGAGGAAGGAAGATGGGGGGGGGGGGGGTTAGGAGGGATGAGGGGGAAGAAGAGCAGGGAGTAGTAGAAGGCAAGAAGAGGGCTGTAGGAGGGTGGGGCTGTGGAAGGCGTGCTGAGCTACCGAGTGCGGCTCTGGCTTTGCCGTTCCCGCCGACGCCCTTGGGTTTGCGCTTCCGCGTCTGGATCGCGTCCTTCTTCATGCTCAGAGGTCGCGCCACCTGTCGCCCACAAAGGTAGAGACAAAGAGCCCCCATGTAGCCTCGCCCGACCCTTGGGGTGGAAAGTGCCGTGAGCGAGTAGCACCTATGCAGGTCCGGCACGGCGCGCATACGGATAACACTGGTCAACACACTTTTTCTGGCATAAGGTATTTCAACGGTTTTCAAGGTAATTTTGGGGGGTGCTGATTCCAAATCTGGCATCAGTTTTTGTCTATCACATCAGGTTTTTGAGATATAAAATATTGCATTTTCAATGAAAACTGCAGAAGAAAAAAATTAAATTAATGTGGATATCTACATAAAATGATATTATAAACACACCATCCTAAAAATACAGCACCATATTTTAACACTAAAGCAGTCACTGACTCGCAACAACTTGCAATCATAAGTGACAGAGTTAATTTCGGGTAAAATCAATGAAAATGGGGTATGCCGATAGCATACAAATGAGATGTGATAGAGCAAATCTGAGATCAGATTTGGAATCAGCACCCTGAAATTAGTCTAGAACAGCTGCAAAAGTCCAGGCCAGAAATTTTTATTTTTTATTTTGTTGACCAGTGATATTGACCGGGGGGGGGGGGGGGGGGCTGTGGATAGCACCGATGCCTGCCCGGCCGTCTTTGTCTCCCCCAGTTGCTGATGTTTACAAGCCGCACAGAGTGTAGCTTCAAAAGGTGACCTTGGGGAGTTCTAAGGGCAGTTCAGATAAGCGCCACTGATGTTGCCTGTGAACTGAACTCGGGCCACCAACACCAGTGACGTTTAAACTGAACCGGTCCTGGGCCACCCCTAGGTCGACTCAGCCTCAAATGAGGGTCGTAGCGCAATGCACGCTCACCTGTTATAGGTGTCGCTCCCCACGTGCACAAAAAAGACAAAGATCCATACTCTTGGGTTGTTTTTGGTAAAGTCACGTAGGGGGAAAATAAGTAAATAAATACATCCTTAAAGTAATAATAGTAAAAATATAAATAACTTAAATAAATACAACATTTACTAAAGGTAATAATAGAAATAAAATAAAAGAATGTTATTTCTATTAGAACTTAAAGTTATTTATTTATTTATTTTACCTACAAGGTGACTTTACCGAAAAAAACAAAGAGTATGAATATTTGCAGGTCACGAAAGCTTCAAATCTAGAATGAAAGACAAAGATCCCCCGTGTAGCCTATAACAGACTGTTGGGGCAAGTGCTGTTAGCGAGCAGCTCCTATGAAGGCCGGCACGGCACACGAGGGGGTGGGTGGCCAGCACCACGCCCGGCCGCCTTTGTCTCCCCAGTGGCGATGTTTATTACACACCGAACCAGGTACTCATTTGAGGCTGAGTCGACCTAGGGGTGGCCCAGGACCGGTTCAGTTTAAACGTCACCGGTGTTGGTGGCCGTGAGCGGGAATCGAACGAACTCGGATGGCTGGTGCTACTGCTGCTGGTGGTCGTTGTGCTACTTCTGGTGGTGGTGCTACTGCTGCTGCTGCAACTGCTGCAGCTGCTGCTGCTGGTGGTTTTGCTGCTAGTGCTGCTGCTGCAGCTGGCGGTGGTGCTACTGCTGGTGGTGGTGCTGCTGGTGGTGATGCTTCTGCTGCTGGTGGTGGTGCTGGTGCTGCTGGTGCTGCTGGTGGTGGTGCTGCTGGTGCTGCTGGTGCTACTGCTGGTGGTGGTGGTGGTGCTGGTGGTGCTGCTGGTGCTGCTGGTGCTGCTGGTGGTGCTGGTGGTGGTGCTGGTGGTGGTGGTGGTGCTGGTGGTGGTGGTGTTGCTGGTGGTGGCGGTGTTGCTGGTGGTGGTGGTGGTGGTGGTGGTGGTGGTGGTGCTGCTGCTGGTGGTGGTGCTGGTGCTGCTGGTGCTACTGCTGCTGGTGGTGCTACTGCTGGTGGTGGTGCTGCTGCTGCTGGTGGTGGTGCTGGTGGTGGTGCTGCTGGTGGTGCTGTTGCTGCTGGTGGTGGTGCTGCTGGTGCTACTGCTGGTGCTGGTGCTACTGCTGGTGGTGGTGGTGGTGCTGGTGGTGCTGCTGGTGGTGGTGGTGCTGGTGGTGCTGTTGCTGCTGGTGGTGGTGCTGCTGGTGCTACTGCTGGTGCTGGTGCTACTGCTGGTGGTGGTGGTGCTGCTGGTGGTGCTGCTGGTGGTGGTGGTGCTGGTGGTGCTGTTGCTGCTGGTGGTGGTGCTGCTGCTGCTGCTGCTGCTGGTGGTGCTGCTGGTGCTGCTGGTGGTGGTGCTGCTGCTGTTGGTGGTGGTGCTGGTGGTGCTGCTGGTGGTGGTGCTGGTGGTGCTGCTGCTGCTGGTGGTGGTGCTGGTGGTGCTGCTGGTGGTGGTGCTGGTGGTGGTGCTGGTGGTGGTGCTGGTGGTGGTGCTGGTGGTGGTGCTGGTGGTGCTGGTGCTGCTGCTACTGGTGGTGGTAGTGGTGGTGGTGATGCTTCTGGTGATAGTGCTTCTGGTGGTGGTGCTTCTGGTGCTGGTGCTGCTGCTACTGCTGCTGCTGGTGCGACTGCTGCTGCTGCTGCAACTGCTGCTGCTGGTGGTGCGTACCCCGTGCAGCTTCATGTAGAGGCCGCACGCGTTGCACACGGGCTCGCCGTCCGCGTTGCGTCTCCACAGCGTGGTGGTGCCGGTGCGGCAATTAGCGCAGTGCAGCCCCGCCCGGCGTGACACCGCCTGCTGCTGTGACAACCGACAACAACAACAACCAACAACAACAACAAAACAGATGTTAAAACCGAACTCTTAAACCAGGGGGTGGGGAACCTTTTTTTTCTGCCAAGGGCCGATTTGGATATTTATATAACGTCATTCGCGGGCCATGCAAAATTGTCAACTTCAAAATGAGCCCGTTGTTATATTCGATCAAAACATTTCATTAACTCGCCCCCTAATGCGATGGGCTGGAACTGCTTCTCTTTGGCGAGGCGTGTGATGTTAGCTGGTATTGATGATGACGTTGCTGCTACTCGCAACGGCTTTTCCAGCTCCGAGATTTATTGAATTTCGAGTACCGCCTGCGGTTGCCTTGGCAGGGCCAGACCCAAATGATTTTGCGGGCCTCATACGGCGTTCCCCACCCCCTGTATTAAACGATTTTGTTATTTAACCAAGCTAAGGCCCACCACTGACCGATGTCAAATCCCTTTTTTCAGAAGCGACCTCGTTATCGCATAGCTGTCAACCCACGCTACGGCTTGAATATATATACAAACATCCACACACACATGGGCATTCATGTGCACACGCACCACACGTACCTACAGCCGGTTCACGATGCGCATTAAAACGTTGGACTAACTCTGAGTAGGCAGTACACACACCGTGTCAACCCACACGCTTCACTCCGTGTTCTTATGCAGGGACATTGAGTTTTCAGGTCCGTCCGGCGTTTCAATAGGGGCACAATGAAATATATAATTAAAGATAAGTTCCCCATTGCGAACCTCATTTGCCAGTAAAAATATGATAATTGTTTTTTTACCCTTCTATCTGGCAACAAAACTGACACCTTTTTTTACAAGGAGTCATGTTTACATAGACCACAATACCTGCAGTCATAAGTTGTCTATGTGTTTGTGTTTCTCTCCTTGCGATGGGACTTTGTAGGATTAACGTCGAGATGTATAAGGGACCAGCGATATCTGAATTTGTCTGTAAGAAGGTAGGGCAATGATAAGGGGTTGACCGGTTTCGTCTGCGAGGATGGGGATGGTTTAGTTTGTGTGTGTGTGTGTCTGGGTGGCTAAAGCACAGCAAGTTGGTACAGTAGGGGCACAGGTGGTGCATCAGCCAGTCATCTCGGTCATCTCGGTCAGTCGACCCGTAGCACCTGGGTCTGCCCCGTGACCTCCTGCCAGCGGGCGTTCGACACTTCACGTGGCCTCAAGATGCACTTGGCCTGGCACAAGCATCGTGGTGACGTCACCGCCACTTAGTGGCGAATGGCGGTTGTTGTTGTTGTTGTTGTCTGGGTGATCTGTTTACCTTTGTTAAACTTTGCGCTACTATTGTGTTTTTGTACTGCTCGTTGTTCTAACGTTCTCACCCCGTGCCACTGTACCGAACGTCTGTGCAAAAGTGCTTCATCGCTCATCAGATTTTTTCTGCAGAATAAATAAATATTCAGATTCTGATCGCAGGTCCGCTCGACACGAAGTGGCTCACCGTCGTCGTCACGTGCACGTTTAGAGCAGCAGCCAAAACTCTCGAAACTATGAAAACGAAACGATTAAACTATTGTATTATTTCATCATGGGACCTCCTTTGCCAGTACCAAAATATGAGAATAGGTTTTCCCCTTTTTTCTGGCAACAAAACAGCTGTGTTAAATTTCGATTTAAAGCTTTCGTGACTGCAGGGATTCATCTTCTTGGTTCTTTCGGTAAAGTCACGTAGAAGGGTAATAATAAAATAATAAAAATAAAACATAATGAAATAATTCTCACGACGTTTCGGCCACAACGCAAGCAGCCGTCCTCAGTCTTCACCTGAGGACGGCTGTTGAGATGTTAAAACACCAAACTGAAACCCTTTTACGAGGAATCATGTCTGCATTAACCACAATACTTGTGGTAAAAATGCAAACAAAAAACGTACTCTGATAATATATGCATTGTCTTTGATTGGTCCACATCAGAGACAGCTTTCTTTTGAGCTGTGCGCCTTTTGGCGTTCTCTGGTCTAACACCGTTTTGAGACGAGGCTAAATCGTAATTTTTTCTCCCGGTCACGATTGCTTGTGTTGCGATCGAAACGTCGTGATTTTTTATTTTATTTTTCTATCTACGTGTCTTTACCGGAAATACCCAAACAATATGAATTCCTGCAGTCACGAAAGCTTTAAGTGAAGAAACTAAAACAATAACAATCATCATCATTATGTTTTAGTGTCATTTGCTCCAAGCATTTGCATGAGGTGCCGAAACCCGATTTATATCGTGCGGTTTACCAGTTTTTAAATCCTTTATATTAAGTTCACTCGCTTGCTTGCTTGCTTAGGACCGTGCAAATCTTTCGGTCGCTTTTTAACCCACTTCCCGTGATCCAATCGAGCTGACATTTTGCACACAGACTCGTTGTGCGTGACAATTTATTTTCGTGAAAAATTTTTTTTCCGAAATGTTCCACTTTTTAGGATTTTTTTTTCATATTTAGTTTAAAATACCAATGTGATAAAAATGAAACTCTTGCTCAAGAAAAACCAGAAATGAATAATAAAATAAAACCGATGCCACGCATATAAAGGATTTATAGTGAAAAACTTTGTCTTTACGGGTTACTTTATTTTTTACGTGCACGAAGAATCCGGGGCGAGTGCCCCGGGCCCCTCGCTTTGAGGCGTGGGGGGGAGGGGCCGGGCGGGGTGGGGGGCGATAGGGGGGGAGGGGCACCTGGGGGGCCCTGCCCCACCTCTGGTTACCGGTCATGCAACTCAAATAGTAACCGGCTGAATTCGGGGCGGGGTGGTGTAGGGGACGACGATGACGACACACGTACGAGTCTCTTCTGCGCCTTGAAGACAGGACGTCCCCCTTTGCTCGTCTTGTGGTACAATCCGCAGGCGTTGCACAGGTAGTGGCCTGTACCATCGCGCCGCCACAGCGGGGTGGACATGGCTCCGCAGTTGACGCACTCGCGGCCATCGTTGATGTCCTCCAGAGATTCTGAGCATCCGGGGCAAATCACGCGAGCATCGTCATCCTCAGTCACGGGACATCATCGCTGCACATCGCCACGTGTCACCATCACTACCCATCGCCACGTGTCACAATCACTACCCATAGCCATCATCGCCACGTGTCACAATCACTACCCATCGCCACGTGTCACAATCACTACCCATTGCCACGTGTCACAATCACTACCCATCGCCACGTGTCACAATCACTACCCATTGCCACGTGTCACAATCACCACTCATCGCCACGTGTCACAATCACTACCCATCGCCACGTGTCACAATCACTACCCATTGCCATCATCGCCACGTGTCACCATCACTACCCATCGCCATCATCGCCACGTGTCACCATCACTACCCATCGCCATCATCGCCACGTGTCACAATCACTACCCATTGCCACGTGTCACAATCACTACCCATCGCCATCATCGCCACGTGTCACAATCACTACCCATTGCCACGTGTCACCATCACTACCCATCACCACGTGTCACAATCACTACCCATTGCCACGTGTCACAATCACTACCCATCGCCATCATCGCCACGTGTCACAATCAATACCTATCACCACGTGCCACCATACAGAGACCCATAGACTCATCACACGAATACCCATAGACTAATCACACGGTTACTCATAGACTCATACAGAGACCCATAGACTCATCACACGGTTACCCATAGACTCACAACAGAGACTCACACAGAGACCCGTAGACTAATCACATGGTTACCCATAGACTCACACAGAGACCCGTAGACTAATCACATGGTTACCCATAGACTCACACAGAGACCCATAGACTCACACAGAGACCCATAGACTAATCACACGGTTTCCCATAGACTCACACAGAGACCCATAGATTTACACAGAGACCCATAGACTCATCACACGTATACCCATAGACTCACACAGAGACCCATAGACTCACACAGAGACCCGTAAACTAAACACACGGTTACCCATAGACTCACACAGAGACCCATAGACCCACACAGAGACCCATAGACTCACACAGAGACCTGTAGACTCACATAGAGACCCATATACTCACACAGAGACCCATAGACTCACACAGAGACCCATAGACTCACACAGAGACCCATAGACTCACACAGAGACCCATAGACCCATCGCACGATTACCCATAGACTCACACAGAGACCCATAGACTCACACAGAGACCCATAGACTCATCACACGGTAACCCATAGACTCGAGCGTATGAAGGTCGACACGGCACACGGAGGCGGTGGTGTGGCAAGAACCACGCCGACCGCCTTTGTCTCTCCCCACCCCCCCCCCCACCCCCACCAGTACAGATATTTACTCCGCACCGCAACGCGCGCATTGTCCGAGGGGTGCCACTCACCTAACGCCGGCAGCGGCCTCCTCACCCCGTGCGCCACCAACCCCGGCAGGATGGCGCTCTCGTAGGGGTGGCTGCCCCAGGAGGACCCACAGGCCGCGGCCTCGCCCGACCCAAAGCCGGGGTAGTGGGGGCCTCCCAGCGGGGGGTGGGGCCCCGGGGAATAGGCGAAGGAGGTGGCCTGCAGCTGTCCCTGGTACTGATGCTGCTGCTGCTGCTGTTGCTGCTGAAGGTGGTGGTGGTGCTGTTGATGTTGGTGCTGTTGGAGATGCGGGTGGTGATGTAACGACTGGTGGTGCGGGTGGTGCGGGTGGTGCGGGTGGTGAGGGTACGGCTGTTGAGGAGCCTGGAGGGCGAGGGGCGAGTCGGAGTGACCCCAGGGGGAGAGGCCGCCCGCGGGGCTGCCGCGCTGCCCCGGGGGCGCCAGGTAGGCGGCGGGGAGGCCCGGCAGGAGAGACGCGGCCCCCACGTACACGGCCGCCGAGCTCGCCGCCGTCTCGTACATCGTGGGGCCGGGCAGGCCACCACCACCACCAACACCACCAACACCACCAACACCACCACCACCACCACCGCCGCCCCCTTGGCAGTTGGAGGCCCGGTCAGCGACGACGGTGCTGGTGCTGGAGGTGGACCCCTTTGCAGAAGGTGGCTTCTGAGAAAATACCTTCAAATGACCTCCCACTGGTGATCGCCCCGGTGGCGGTGGTGGTTGTTGCAGTGGTGACCTCCAGACGATGAACTACAAGGGTCGACCCCCCTCACTGGTGACCTCCCAAGGGTTGACCTCTCGGTGATCACCTCCAGGGGACGACTTCCCAGTGGTGGATGCTGCAGCGGTGACCTCCAGACGATGAGCTACAGGAGTCGACCGTGCAGTGGTGGATCTTTCAGTGGTGGCCTCCAGGTGATGAACCCGGACAGACGACGACCGCCGAGACTCCAGTGGTGACCTCCTGGCAGTGGCCTCGCGAGCGAAGACCTTCAGGTGATGATCTCCAGATGACCTCCCAGGTGGTGACCTTGTGAACGAAGACCTTCAGGAGATGATCTTCAATGGTGACTGCTGGAAGATGACCTCCCAGGTGGTGGCCTTGTGAACGAAGACCTTCAGGTGACCACCTAGCCGGCGATCACCTCAAATGGGCAGTGGCGAATTTCGTAATCGGCGACAAGAATATTTAAACTGGAGGAATCCGATGAGCTATGAAGCTCTATTTTCTCCCATTGATGTCTCACCCCCGGTCCTGGTGGTGATCGGGAGAGGTGCTCTTCCAGCGGTAACCTCCTCGAATCGTCGGCCTCTTCCTAAAAGAGAAGTGACATCAATTTAGCTGCGGAAAACCTCCAAAACTGATCTCCACTGGTTCGACAGCTTGGGGTGGACGAAGGGCCTAAGTGTGTACAGCATTACAGACAGAATGTATGAATACTCTTAGGTCTTTCGGTAAAATATGTGTACCTTAGATATAAGGTACAGATATTTTGCTGTGACGGTTTCACCTGAAGACGGAAGCTTGTGTTGCCTCCGAAACGTAGTGATTTTTATTGTTTTATTTTTATTAATTTTAATTTCATTTTTTACCTACGTGACTTTACCGAAAGAACTAAGAGTATGAATCCTTGCAGTCACGAAAGCTTTAAATCGAAATCTATGGGTAGTGTTGAGTCTATGGGTAGTGTAAGTCTATGGGTAGTGTTAGTCTATGGACAGTGTTAATTCTCACGACGTTTCGGCCACAACGCAAGCAGACGTCCTCAGGTGAAGACCAGGTTTGCCGAAACGTCGTGAGAATAATTTTATTATGTTTTATTTTTATTATTTCCCTTCTACATGACTTTACCGAAAGAACCAAGAAGATGAAGTCCAACAAACTTATGTTGGAAGTCCTCCTTTAGGCTCTCCGTTCCATGTTTATTGAACTTACTCTGTGTGTACTATGTACTGTGTGTGTGCTACTCGGCATGCAGCTGTCTCACACACACATAGATACAAAGATAAAGACCCCCCGTATAGCCTTAACAGACTGTAGGGGCAAGTGCTGTTAGCAAGCACCTATGAAGGCCGGAACGGTACACGAGGGGGTGGGTGGCCAGCACCACGCCCGACCGCCTTTGTCTCCCTAGTGACGATGTTTACACACCGCACCAGGTATTTATTTAAGGCTGAGTCGACCTAGGGGAGGCCCAGGGCCGGTTCAGATAATCGTCATTGGTGTTGGCCGTGAGCGGGAATCGAACCCGGGTCGCCAGATTCATAGCGCAGCGCGCTAACCACTACACTACCGCTCCCCACGCACATAGTTATACACATACACACATACATAGATGCATACACATAGATATAATACACAGCGCGATAGATACAGAGATACAACACTGTGTGTGTACTGCGTGTGTGCCGCGTGTGTACTGCGTGTGTACTGCGTGTGTAATGTGTGTACCGCGTGTGTACTGCGTGTGTAATGTGTGTGCACTGCGTGTGTACTGCGTGTGTGTATTGCGTGTGTGCTGCGTGTGTACTGTGTATATATATACAGGGCGAGAGTAATTCGTGTGACTCAGAGCGGTGGAGCGGTTGGGCGATCTGTACTTTATCGCCCTTCACGGGTAAGGATGATGATGATGGTGGTGGCGATGACGATCTGGCTGTGGCGTGTGTGTGTCGTAGTTTAAAGCAGTGAGTCTTAACCTTTACTGCAGCTTTGCACCCTTTTTATTCTCCATCGCTAACACATTTATAATGTTTATAAGTACAGAGTGGTTTGATGAAACGAAGTAAAGTTGGAACTTAAGGTGCCTTCATTTGTGTTTTCGATTATTCACCTTCTAAAACAAATCTATTCATGTCTCGCACCCCCCCCCCCCCCCAGAAAGGGCATCTCGCAGCGTTCACCCCAGACCCCAGGGTAAGAAGAACCACTGCTTGAGATTATCAAGACAATTAAGAAGAACCATTGCTTTAGAGACTCAAGACAATTAAGAAGAACCACTACTTTAGATTATCAAGATGATTAAGAAGAACCACTGCTTTAGATTATCAAAACAATTAAGAAGAACCACTGCTTTAGATTATCAAGACAATTAAGAAGAACCATTGCTTTAGATTATCAAGACGATCAAGAAGAACCACTGCTTTAGATTATCAAGACGATTAAGAAGAACCACTGCTTTAGATTATCAAGACAATTAAGAAGAACCATTGCTTTAGATTATCAAGACGATCAAGAAGAACCACTGCTTTAGATTATCAAGACAATTAAGAAGAACCACTGCTTTAGATTATCAAGATGATTAAGAAGAACCACTGATTTAGAGACTCAAGACAATTTAGAAGAACCATTGCTTTAGATTATCAAGATGATTAAGAAGAACCACTGCTTTAGATTATCAAGACAATTAAGAAGAACCATTGCTTTAGATTATCAAGACGATCAAGAAGAACCACTGATTTAGAGACTCAAGACAATTAAGAAGAACCATTGCTTTAGATTCTCAAGACAATTAAGAAGAACCATTGCTTTAGATTCTCAAGACAATTAAGAATAACCACTGATTTAGAGACTCAAGACAATTAAGAAGAACCACTGCTTTAGATTATCAAGACAATTAAGAAGAACCATTGCTTTAGATTATCAAGACAATTAAGAAGAACCACTGCTTTAGATTATCAAGACAATTAAGAAGAACCACTGATTTAGAGACTCAAGACAATTAAGAAGAACCATTGCTTTAGATTATCAAGACAATTAAGAAGAACCATTGCTTTAGATTCTCAAGACAATTAAGAAGAACCACTGATTTAGAGACTCAAGACAATTAAGAAGAACCACTGCTTTAGATTATCAAGATGATTAAGAAGAACCACTGCTTTAGAGACTCAAGAAGATTAAGAAGAACCACTGCTTTAGAGACTCAAGACGATTCTTCAGGAGGGTCCTGCCGGGTTTCCGCTGTAGGGGGCGATGTCGCTCCGTGTTTCGTGCGGTCACGAATGCATACCCCCCCCCCCCTCCGTTTACTCTGCGTTCTATGATGCCAGGTGTAAGCCCCCCATCTATGATGCCAGGTGTAAGCCCCCCATCTATGATGCCAGGTGTAAGCCCCCCATCGAGCTACAGAGATCTTTTTCAGAAGCGACCAGGCCACAAACGATCGCCCAGCGAAGTGACGTATCAACGTCATCATCATCGTCATCAACATCATCAACATCTTCGTCGTCATCGTCATCGTCATCAACAT